GAATGTGTAAAAATCATCATCATCTTGTTGGCCAAGGATGGTAGCTCATGCCTGTAATTCAAGCGCTTTGGGAGGACAAGGTGGGTGGACAGCTTGAGCTCAGGACTTTGAGATCAGCCTGGACAATATAGTGAGACCACATCTCTATGAAAAATATGAATTTAAAAGTTTTCTGGGTGCAGTGGTGTGCACCTGTAGTCCCGGCTACTGGGAAGGCTGAGGTAGGAGGATCATGTGAGCCCAGGAGGTCAAGGCTGGCAGTGAGCCACGATTGCACCACTGCACTCCGGCCTGGGCAACAGAGCAACACCTTGTCTCTAAAGTTTAAAAAAATAAAGTAAAAACAAACAAATAATCTGACTGTCCATCAAGAAGTGATTAATTAAATTATTATGCACTATATTAGGGGAATTTACTCAGCCATGAGAATGAAGAATGTAAAATCTATACCTGTTGGCCTGGAAGGAAGCTCATGATACTCTCCTAAGTGAAAAAGCAGCATGCAGAGTGATGGGGAAGAGCCTATTTTTGTTGCTAAAACAAAAGCCCCACCTGTTTATCAAGTGTATGTCTGCAGGGACACAGAGAAAGGGTTGGAGATGAGGGAAGTAGAAGAGGTTTTTCTTCTTCATACACCTTTGAATTAACTTGCTAAAATAGATCATTAATTCCTTTTTTTTTTTTTTTTTTTTTTTTTTTGAGACAGAGTCTCACTCCATCACCAGCTGCCAGGCTGGAGTGCAGTGGTGCGACCTTGGCTCACTGCAATCTCTGCCTCCTGGGTTCAAGCAATTCTTCCACCTCAGACTCCCGAGTAGCTGGGACCACAGGCGCATGTCACCACGCCCAGCTAATTTTTTTGTATTTTTAGTAGAGACGGTGTTTCACCATGTTGGCCAGGATGGTCTTGATCTCTTAACCTGGTGATCTGCCCGCCTTGGCCTCCCAAAGTGCTGGGATTACAGGTAATTCTTATGTAATTAAAAATTAACAAAGAAAGGCCAGGCACGGTGGCTCACGCTGGTAATCCCAGGGCTTTGGGAGGCCAAGGCAGGTGAATTGTTTAAAGCCAAGGGGTTTGAGATCAGCCTGGCCAACATGGTGAACCCCCATCTCTACTAAAATTACAAAACTTAGCCAGGCGTGATGGTGCACCTCTGTAATCCCAGCTACTCAGGAGGCTAAGACATAAGAATTGCTTGAACCCAACAGGCGGAGGTTGCAGTGAGCCAATATCACACCACTGTACTTCAGCCTGGGTGGCAGAGCAAGACTGTCTTTAAAAAAAAAAAAAAAGACAGAAAATATTAACAAAAACAAATTAAAGGAGGAAGAAAAAGGAACCTACTCAGAAACATCAACCCCTTTCACTTGATTGTTCTGTGGATTGAAAAGTTCATGACTTGTAGTATCTATTGATTACCCTTCCTCTTCCAATTGGGCATGAGAAAGAAAATGGGGTGGGCTGGGACAGGGGAGAAGTTGGGAGCTGCAGGTGCATGAGCCTAAGGGATGTGGGGTGGAGGAAGGAGGGAGGGGGGGAGAGAGAGAGAGAGAGAGAGAGAGAGAGAGAGAGAGAGAGAGAAAGGAATGGAGGTGGCAAAGAGGCTTAGAGAGAGGCTGAGGGAACAAGGGAGCTTGTGCTGTGTTTGGCTCCAAGCTGGTGAGAGGAACAGGGGCGGGAGGGGAATGTTGGAGGCAGGGGCCCAGGAGGAAGAGCATCATCTGGGGAGAGCAGGTGGCTTTCACAGCCTCTGAGTATCTCCTGGGGCTGTCCAGCAGACCTCCAGTCCAGAGGAGCCTGCCAGTCTTAATGAAAACCTCTCCATAGGCCTTTCAGGTATTAAGGAGTGAGTGGGCAGTTCATTCATTCATGTAAGAAGCGTCTATCCCATGCTTGTCCCCTGCCACGTGCTGAGGAATCAGCCTGTTCAGGACAGATGTGGCCCTGCCCATCTGGAGCTTCCTGTGTGCCCGGGGGACCATGCCTCAGTGGTGGTCACTCTCTGTTTCCACTTGTGCATAGCTGGGGTTGAGTCTGGTGCTAAGGGCTGTGCCTGTCAGACAGGCTCTGATGTCGAGCGCTGTCCTGAGCCCAGCTAGCTGCCTGGGACCAGGGTGCCCCGGATGGTGGGGCTGGGGGTGGGGGTAGGGATGCCAGTCTCAGAGCTAGAAAAACATCCTCAGGGGTCCCTGGTCAGCAGTGGATGGGACAGGCCCAGGGATATCCCTGTGCCAGCCTTCCGGGACTGCCTACTAAGGGTCATCTTCCGCAGAAGCCTGACAGCTGACAGACCAGCCTGAGCAGGAATGGGCACTGAGGCAGCTTAGGGGGCTTCCTAGAGGCAAGCAAGGCCGAGCCCTCCCTAAAGGCAGCCATGGACTTCATGATGAGGTCCTGTGGGTTCCTACAAAGCCACAGAAGGGCTGGCAGGGGCTGCTCCCCGGGAAGGCCTCTGCCCTTGCCCCCCAGGCATAGGACCTCTGGTCCCAGGGAAGGCCTCTGCCCCCACCCCTAAAGCTCAGGACCTCTGGTCCCAGGGAAGGCCTCTGCCCCCACCCCTAAAGCTCAGGACCTCTGGTCCCAGGGAAGGCCTCTGCCCCCAACCCTAAAGCTCAGGACCTCTGGTCCCAGGGAAGGCCTCTGCCCCCACCCCCAGGCTCAGGACCTCTGGTTCTCTGCAAGGCGTCTGTCCCTGCCCCAGGCTCAGGACCTCTGGTCCCTGGGAAAGCCTCTGCCCCTGCCCGCAGGCTCAGGACCTCTGCTGTAAAGACAGTTCCAGGTGGCCAGGGTCGTCTGGCCTCCCACAGGAACCTCGCAGCCACCCTATGTACCCCTGGGAGTACACAGCCAGGTCTCGGATGGCCAAGGGACCACACACAGTCAGAAAGCCCACATCTTGGCTTTGGTACATGCTGATCAGAGAGCACAACACAGCCACCCAGGAATAGGCCAGAAGTAGGCCAGAAACCCTAACCTATGTATGGCCCTCCACAGTCACCCTGCAAACCTGGCACTTTGACTTCTTGGGGACAGAACCTCTCTGCTTCCCTCTGCCTCCCAGGCCACACCCCCTTTGCCCATGATAGTGGGATTCCCCAAGTTTAATCTGGCCCGCACCTGCTGCACCCACACACTCTGGCGCATCCCTCTCAAGAGTGACTGCAGATACCTCCTGAGTCACCATTAGCAGCCTGGCCACCAGCCCTGACTGCCCTGCTGCCCATGGGCTGTTACACATCACACAAGCTGGGTCACCTGGATGACCACGGGGCTGTGATGTGCCTGGCATGCCGCCTGGCACAGAGGCACCTGGTGAGGTGGTTTGCAGTCAGAACCTTGGAGGGAGAACAAGTTCACACAAGGCAGCCTCCGCATTGTCTGGGCTGGCCTCCATGCAGTTAATAAACAATGTCTGTTGCAAGAGTGTGGGGCCACTGCCCTTTTAATTACACTGCCCAGGTAATTAAAAGGCCATCTTTTAAGTAATTAAACGGTCAAGTCTGCATGGCTGAGGAGGTGATGGCAGCTCCGCTCCTCCCCAGGGTGTGTGCATGTGCATGGGGGTGTGTGTGCCTGTGGCAAGTGTATGTGCCCATGAGTGCGAGTGTGTGTGAAGATGAGCATATGAGCTATTGTGTGCACATGTGTACATGCAAGTGTGAATGTGTGCATGTGAGTGTGAGAGCATGTGTGTGTGCATGTGAGCAAGTGTGCATGTGTGTATGTGTGCACGTGTGGGTGCATGAGGCTGTGTGCAAGAGTGTGTGAGTGTGTGTGTGTGTGTGTGTGTGTGTACTGTGACTTGGAGCAGACCACACAGTGTCAGCTCTTGAAGTGGGGCTTAGGCCACAGCTGCCGCCAGGGGCCTTCAGCCTCTCCTGCTGAACTGGCTCCCAGCAGCATTTCAAACCCGTAAGTGTCCACTAGCTTGTGCTCTCACATTCCGAGGAATATGGACGAATCTCGATAGGGTCAGCAGGAGAAAGCCTGAGCTCCGAGAGTGGCAGAGGGACTAGGCAGAGGACTGCCACTTCTCCAGCCCATCTGCAGCCATCCCTTCCAGGCCGGGCAGCCGTGGTGCTCCTCAGGCCAGTGTCCCAGCCAGGCCTGCACGCCCTCCTCCCGCAGGGACTCTGCCTGCCTGCTCTCCACCACATCGCATCCCATGTCTGTCTGTGGCAGCACCGTCAGGGGATGAACCACATGCACAGAGGTGTACACAGCACACGCAGGGCCAGCGAGGAGAGGATGCTACGAAGGAGCCGGGTGCAGAAGATAAAGCGCTCGGGTAACAGCCTGCCCCTGGATCCCAGCTAGGCCACACTCCTGCCGAGGGAGCCTCTCCTGTCCTCTGAGCTGCGGGGTCACCCATCTGTCAAGTGCAGTCATTAAATAACTGCCCTGTCCACCTTCTGAGCCTGCTGTGAGACCGGGAACTTTGAAATAAAACCACGAACATCAAAGCCTCATGAAAGCTGCGGAGAGCGGTCCACAACCAGGTTCTGCCACCATTTCCCACCGGGGCGGCCGCCTGGGACACACACACCGTAGCATGGCCACCAGAACGCCCAGGCACTGGGCCCAAAGCCCCCTTACTCATCAGGACCAGGGAAGCCAGGAGTCCCCCCGACTGAGACACAGTGCCAGGAAGAGACGGTGCGGGCCAGCCCAGGAAAGATGCAGGTTTAATACACACCACGTTTCTGTGCAGACGCAGTGCTGCTCATGGCCTCCTTGCCCCTGAATCAGTACTTGCATGTGAAACTACCCCCAGGGAACCCCCACCACCCTTCTGCACAGAGTCAACCATCCCTTGCTGTAAGTCCCCACTGCTCAGGAGCAGGTATAGAGCTGAGGGCTCAGGGAGGGGCGCATCACCAGAATGAGCCTCGAGGACGGAGGGCATGGGGGGACTGGCCTCATGCCTGCAAACTGCCAGGATGGCTGACAATCCCAACTTCAGAGGCTACCTGGGAGAGCGGCGGAGGGGACTTACCTCTTCCTCGGGCCCAGGTGTAGACGCGGCTGCTCTTGGAACTTCTAGTCTCTCGCTCGGCTGGCTCCACGGGCAAAGGCCGGAGGTGGGGATCATCAGCTCGGCCAGGGGTCTTCAAGGGCAAGATATACTTGGGGAGCCCTTTGTAGAACCAGGCCCCCGACCTCTTCCAGACCTGGACGGAGGAGAGAGCTGCCTGGAGCACAGGATGCAGAGGGGCCTCCCCTCCTGCTCCGTGCCCAGAGGACGGGAGGTACGCAGAGAGCCAGGAGCAGTGTGGGAGTGGAAACTCTGGCTCTGCCCTCGCTGGCTTATGGGCTGGGCAGTCACTTACCTTCCCAGGACTCAGGACAACTTGGAGCTAAGTTCCATGAACTCTCCAAACTTTCTTTCTCTCCCTTGTTTTACAGTTGAGGCCTTGCTCTGTTGCCCAGGCTGGAGTGCAGTGGTGCAATCATCACTCACTGCAGCCTCTGGGCCCAAGCAGTCCTCCTGCCTCAGCCTCCTCAGCAGCTAGGGTCACCGTGCCTGGTGCCACACCTACTTTAAAGACAAGCCCACGTCCTCTTGTTTCTCTCTCACAGAGTGGGGACCTCAATAGGGGCCTGGCATGTGAGAAATGTTTATGAAAATGGTCTGCCATTATCGTCTCTATCCTCCACCACTCAGGATCCCAGAGATTGCCTATTCAGACCCCTGCCTATCCCCAGTCCTTCCCAGTCTCTGCTGGAAAACATCTAGTGACGGGAAGCCCGCAGGCCACCAGGCACTGCCCAGTTTCCACTGGATCTGCCAGGGACCGGCACTTCCTGCCCACCAGCTGACCTCCCCGGCACCTTCTCTCGCTGGCCAAGGCAGAGGGCTGCATGGGACGGACCCTCCCAGCCACGAGTACCTGCAGACACCTCCCCAGCCCCCGAGCTCTCCTCAGTGCCACACCCAGACCCCCAGTTCTCAAGGACAACACCCCTGGTCCCTCAGCTGTTCCAAGCTTCCTCTCATCAAGCCACCCCCTCTCACCAATGTTTGTCACTACCCCTCAGGAGAGGGGCTCAGAAGTGGTCACAAAGCTCCAGACTTGTTCTGGCTGCCCCCAGGGCACAGTCACCAGCTTTCTACCTCTTTCCTGCCTGGGTTCTGCCTTCCTCAGGCTCTGAGCCTCCCAGGAGCCCCTCCTGACTCCACGTAGTCCCACAGGGCCTCTGAGAGCCAGGTGGGTCCGAGGGTGCCTGCCAGGGCCCATGCAGATGCAAAGCACCCCTTTATCACTGACCTGGGGAAGGGAGGAGTCACCCTAAAGCTGGCAAGACAGACATCCACGAAAGCTGGCAGAGCCCCAGGAAGCTGGGGATGCTGACCCTGAATTCACAGGGTGGGAGGTGCTCTGGGTCTGGGATGCACAGCCCCTTGGGCTCTGACGGGTCCTTCTGTTCCTCTGTCACCCCCAGCTTGGACACCCAGGCTCCCTACTCCTATTGTCCCTGGAAGCAAGGTTGAATCAATAGCAGCTGCCACATACTGGCTGTGTGGCTTTCAATGAGTTACTTAACCTCTCTAAGCCTGAGTTTCTTCACTGACTATATTGGTTAAATGTGATAGCTGCTAAGAAAGTTAAAAAGTGCTCATCAGAGCAAACGGCACCCAGAAGGTGTTCACAAGATGCCATCTGCCTGCCTCCTTCTTGCCCCTGCTCCTCCCCTTCGAGGCTCCAGGACAGGGCCATAGAGGCAGGAGGGAGAGCCGGGCTGGGCCGTATCACATCAGGTGCCTGCTCTTCTCTCAGGGCTTCTTGTGAGACAGTCTCTCCAGCAGGAACAGAAAGCACCCGCTTCCCAGGAGAGCTGCCGATTAGAATTCAGAGCAGCAGCTGAGTTAAGGTCCCTAAATTTTTAATGCCTCCTTCAGAAAACACCACATGCTGTATAATCTCTTTTCTGATGAAGGAAGTAAATTCGGGGCATCTAGCCGGGAGTGGTGGGAGTGTGTAAAGGAACATTTTTGCAAGAAACCTCAACTGACTTCACCCTTTTCAGAGCAGTGCAGGCCAAGGTTCTGAGCAGATGTCCTGAATTTCAACCCTGGGTCCAGCACCCAGCACCTGTGTGACTTGGCCACACCGAGCTCCCTGGCCGTCAGTTCTCTTTGCGAGTGGGCAAACACAGGATCTGCACTCATTTCACAGCGCGGACTTGAATGAAGCTGAAGCCCCAGGGCCCAGCGCCAGGCACAGAGCAACCTCTCCACAGAGGAGAGGCCCATGGGTACCCCCACCACCCTCTTCCTCCCACCTGAAACACAAACAGCTTTACCACCAGTGGACCAATTCCCTACTTGAAGAATTTAAAATCAGAAAACCAGAATCTGCTGATTCTGAGACATTGCTTCCCACTCCTAAAACTTCCTCTGCACCACATAAATACTGTGGGATATTAACAAGAGCCAGGTCAAAAAAAAAAAAAAAAAAAAAAAAAGGTTTCTAATCACACACACTTGAAAAGCATCAGGTTAAACCAAGCTCCATCACTGCAGGACTTGTCAGAGCCTTTACTATGCTAACATGCACAGGGTTATCCAACAGGCAAAAGAACACACAGTGCTCTCTACTCGAAATCTGCCCGGCTGGCTCTCCTAGAGAAACTCGACCTTAGGATGGGTCTGTGTAGACTCAGCACTTATCCGGCTAGCACTTACTGTCCACTCGTGGAGTGATGTGTATTTGCCTCTCCAAGTAGGCTCGAGGTACCGCCTCACGCTGCAGAGCCCCAGGCGTGGGACCGTGTGGATCCCTCCCTTCCCCTGCCAGCCACCCTGAGTGGAGGGCCTGGAACCTGTTTGGTGGGATGGAGGCGTCATGGCACCCACTTTGGAAAACCTTTTCTGATCCCTTCGGAGCCTTCCTACCACACATATTTATGTGAATGGATAATGCAGGCACACAGTCTAAAAATCCGCAGCACAAAAGTAACCAGTCTCCTCCCCCATCCCCAGAGATATTTGAGGAAGCTTGGTGATTATCTCTGCTTTTCAGGTGGGGAAACTGAGGCTCCAACAAGTTCAGCAGTTTGCCCAAAGCCAGCACATATTCTGTTGGCCTCTACTCCACTCGGAAGGCCCGAGTCCCACCCAGCAGTTTGCAGATGTGAGGTGGCTGCTCACTAATAAAGCGGTTGAGTGGTGAATAAACCCTGAGTGGGTCAGACGTCGGGGGTGGGGCTCTCAGAGCCCAAACAGGAGCCACCACAGCCACCCTCTCTCTGGAGAGCTGCTGCGAGGCTCATTAGAGTAGGTGCCCAAGTCCACGAGGCCCCGGCAAGGCCACGGGGGCCATGGGGTGGGGCTGGCCATGCCTCCCACTGACGAGCAAAGGCTCTGAGCACGCTACCTCCCTGTCCCCTGCCGTGGACTGGGCCTGGGGCCAAGCCCTGAAGAGTCATCTGTGAATGGCGGGACCTGTGCAGGCTTCGAAACGCACACCACACTGTCTTCCCCAACTCGCATGGAAGCTTTCTCTTTTTGCTTTTTTTTTTTTTTTTTTTTTTGAGACAGGGTCTTGCTCTGTCACCCAGGCTGGAATGCAGGGGCGCAACTGGCTCACTGCAGCCTTCACCTCCCCAGGCTCAAGTGATCCTCCCACCTCAGCCTCCTGAGTAGCTGGGTCTATAGGTGGTGTGCACTGTATTTTTGTATTTTTCTAATTTTTGTAGAGATGGAGTTTCACCCTGTTGCTCAGGCTGGTCTCAAATTCCTGGGCACAAGCAATCTGCCCACTTCAGCCTCTCAATATGCTGGGATTACAAACATGAGCCACCACGCCTGGCCTCCCCTGTTTTTTTCCTGAAAAAATACCTATCTAGCATACAAAATTAGCACAATAACAAAAGAGTAAAATGAAACTAGGCCACTTATAACGTTACTGCACAGAGCCAGCCCCACTGAGCATGGCTGCATGGACTTTCTTTCACCTTTTCCTAGGCATGCGCACTATTTGCTTTTTGTTGTTTTTTTTTTCAAAACTTGGCTAACGTAGATGCAGCCTGTTCCCCCGACACACACCCCACCACGTGTCACAGCGGGCACTCGTATTCGTAACTGTCTCCATCATCACTGTTTAATTGCTCCGCAGTTTGCATTTATTACGGACGTCTAAGCTGTCTCTGACCTCTGTCCTCACAAGCAGCACTGCCGCCACCGCCCTGTACACTCCACCGCCCTGTATACTCCACATCGGACCGGTTTCAGTCACTGCCTTAAGAAACACGGGTTGAGTGCTCTTTTCCAAAATGCTGGGGAGAGAAGTGTTTCAGATTTTGAACTTTTTCGAATTTCATCATATTTGCATTATACTTAATGCAAGTTTAGCATCCCAAATCTGAAAATCCAAAATCTGAAATGCTCCAATGACCATTTCTTGAAGCATCACGCACTTAAAAAGTTTCGGATTTTGGAGCATTTCAGCTTCTGGGTTTTCTGATGAACGACACTCAGCCTATATTCCACAGGGTGAAATTACAGGTCAAGAACTGTGTATGTTCAGATGATGATATCTAGAGTCAGGCCGCCCTCCAGGAGGAAAAGCATGCTCCCAGGATGCTACATTAAGTATTTTCGGGGTGGGGACCAGGTCTCCTTAGCTCCCTGGTGGAATCCAGGGTCTCCTCGCTGGATGCTGATCAGGGCGGATCCCACGGAACCATCATGGGCTTGGGGAGAGGCATCTGTCTGGGCATGAGGCCACCAGCACAAGGTGCGCACGGGAACAATGGAGCTTCTTGCCATCCCTGGGTCACGCCTTTAGGGTTAAGAGATCTCCCCCACCTCACACCCAGCCAGCCGAGGCCCTAAACAGGGGAGTGGACAGGCTGATGCTCAGGGTGACTAGACAATGTGGCCAAGCCTTCTCTGCTGTGAGGCTTCAAGGAAGAGACTAAGAAGCCCCCACATGGCTGCATTCCCGCACACTGCGGGGCCGAGCGCCTCGTCCATGCAGGTGAGCCCGCATCTCACAGCCTTCTTTCTGGATTCTCCTTTGCAGCACTGGACCACAGGTATGCATGGTCCTTTTTTTTAAAAAAATCAAAACATTTTTTCATTGTGTTAAAATATTCAATAACATAAAATGTATCACCCTAAGCACAACCAATCTCCAGAACTCCTCATCTTGCAAAACTGAAACTA